CTAGAATGTTTTTCTGCTAAGAAAATATTTTTTAGACCATTTGCCATTCTATTAGTATTCTTAAGTTTATTCCTATTATTCTTGGGCTTAAGACATTTTCTATCTTATAACTTGTTAGTTTTACATTTATGTACTTCATTTAATATTATAGCTTAGAAACAGTAGGATAAAGTACTCCTGAAATTTAGCAGAAGTCCCCAAACTCAAAAAGAAATTGTATATAGTATTATAGTACTAGCTAATATATATGGAGTCCTTTTTTTGGTGAGACACTGTTCGAAGCTCTTTATAGTTATTCATTTAATCACTAAAACAACTCTGGGATGGGTGCCATGAATATGTCCAAATGAAGAAACTGAGACTTAGAATTTATTTATTTTTATTTTTATTTATTTTTTAAATATATTTTATTGATTTTATACAGAGAGGAAGGGAGAGGGATAGAGAGTTAGAAACATCGACGAGAAAGAATCATCGATCAGCTGCCTCTTGCACACCCCCTACAGGGGATATGCCCGCAACCAAGGTACATGCCCTTGACCGGAATCGAACCCGGGTCCCTTCAGTCCCCAAGCCGACGCTCTATCCATTGAGCCAAACCGGTTCGGCGAATTTATTTTTTTTAATTAGGTATTATTAAAAAGAAGGAAAATTTAAAACACAATTCTCTTAGTAAAATAAAAATAATTTTTCTTCCACCAGTCTTTGAATTCCTTGAGGCCATAGATTAATGAATAACTATTTAGTAGATAATTGTTATATTGAAATTAACTTTAAACTTTATATTACTTAAAAAATGAAACACAAGAGGGTGCTATTTACTATTCACTACTAATGTTTTGCATTTAAAAAAATATTTCTCCTTGTGAAATATAGTGCAGTTGCAACTTTATTATTATTTTTTGGTTCTGGCTAGACCCCGTTAATTTATTTTCTTTTTTTTTTCACTTCAGTTTATAGATTATTAGTTTTATATTAGTTTTGTAACAGATTGGCAGTGTGTATCTATTTGGGGGGGGCACTCAGTTTCTAACTATATTAAGTAATTTTGCTAAATGGGAAGGTTTTTAAAAAAAATCATTATTGTTGAAAGTATTACATATGTTCCCTTTTTTCTTCTACTGACCCCTTTATTGCCTGCCCCCTCCCTTCCACCCCACACCTCTACCATTCTACTTGTTATGCATATTGGAAAGTTTTTTAAAGAGGGTCTTTTATTTTTTTTTTAAGCCAAATTTAACATTTAGTACATTAAGTCTTTGGAATTGTTTTCCTAAATTAAGAACATATAATTATGACATTTTACTGACGAACAGTTATAGCAAGAAACCTGCTGTTTAGAATTTACTCTTTGTCCCATTGGACCACCTATGAATAGGGTAACCATACATTTCACTATGCTTTGAACAGTCCTGCTTATATTTCTTGTTGCAAGCTGTTGCTTTATTATGACAACATCACATCTATTATTATAACACTAGAGGCCCAGTGCATGAAATTCATGCACTCAGGTGGGGTCCCCCAGCCTGGCCTGTGCCCTGTCACCATGTAGGAGCCCCTCAATCAATCACCCAAAAATGTAGGCCCTGCCCACCCATATGGGGCTCCTCGATGTATTGCCCCAAAAAGGTAGATCAGAGCCGGTGGTCCCACCTCTGTACCTCATGGGTCCGTGGGACCCCCAGGCCTGGCTGCATTGAGTGGCTGCCAGACCCCATCTCCACACCGTACACGCAGCATCAAATCCCCACCTACCCATGTGTGCCTGCTGCGCACACAGCCTCCTGGTGATGGATTGTGGGATTGTGATGGTGTGAGGGCATCATGGCACGAGTGCGTGATGACCACCTAGGCTGTTATTAGTATAGAGAACTAAAGGCCCTGTGCACGAACCTCATGTATAGGTGCAGTCCCTATGCCTGACCAGTGATGGAAGCACAAGCATCTGGAGTGGAAGGGCAAGTTTCAGATGACCTCTGGGCCCTGGGAAGCAACTGAGCCCCTGCTCACACCTGCCTTAGCCTGGCACCACCCACTCATCTGCTTCACTATCCACTGCAATCCCACTCTGGTTGGGGCCTTTCAGTGCCCGCAGTGCCTCTATTGCCACCCACTGCCAGCACCGCATTGCTGACGGCCGCCATGTCTGCACCACCCTCTGGTAGTCAGAACATGTCATAGTCAGTGGTTGAACTCCTGGTCTCCTGGTTGAACTCCCAAATGTCCACCCAATTTGTGGGTTCAATTTGCATAGTAGGCTTTTATTATATACTAGTGGCCCGATGCATGAAATTCATGCATGGAGGGCAGTTCCTCAGTCCTGCCTGCACCCTCTCCAATCTGGGACCCCTTGGGGAACGTCCCACTGACATCTCTTTCACAATCTGGATGACTGACTCCTAACCACTCGCCTGCCTGCCTGCCTGCCTAATTGCCCCTAACCCTTCTGTCTGCGAGCCTGATCGCCCCTACCTTGCCCCTCTCCCAGCCTGATCACTCCTACCTTGCTCCCTGGCGCTGGCCTGATTGCCTTTACCTGCCCCCCTGCCTACCTGATCACCTCTAACCTCTCTGCCTGCCTGCCTGCCTGATCACCCCTAACTGCCTCTGCCTGCCTGCCTGATCACCCCCAATTGCCCTCCCTTGCTGGCCTGATTGCCCCTAAGTGCCTCTGCCTCAGCCCCCACCACCATGGCTTTGTCTGGAAGGAAGTTAGATATCTGGAAGATGGCCAGTTGACCCAGTCTAATTAGCATATTACCTTTTTATTAGTATAGATAGAGTATATAGGATAGGATTGCTTAAATGGGGTGCGGGGGTCCTTTTTTCGGCAGGAGGAGATGCTCTTGGCAGACAAAAACACATAATCCCTATATCTGGACTGATAGCCAGCCATTTGCACTGTACACCAAACCGATCATTAAAAAATAGAATCACTTTCTTACACCTTACACCAAACAGTTGTTGCCCTGAAAACCCCTCCTCACCCCCAACCTTAAGTTCTGCTTTCACAGTTCACCCAGAATAGGTTTTGATTGGTCAGTTTCTATGCCAGTCAACATCAAAAGCTCTGCCTCCTAGGCAGCTATTGGCTTTTCACAATTCACCTAGATTTGGTTTTGATTGGTCGGGTTTTTATGCCTGTCAGCGTCAAAAGCCCGCCTTCTAGGCAGCCATTAGCACCTCACAATTCACCCAGATTTGGTTCTGATTGGTCGGTTTCTATGCTAGCATCTCCGGGCCTATCTCTGGGTATGATCGTAGAGGCGGGGCTGATCAGCAGCTGACCCAGGCTGCTGGCCTCTGGGGCAGAGAGAGACAGACAGACAGACAGACAGACAGACAGACTTGGCTGCTGGTGAGGCCAGGCCCGGAGAGAGAAGCAGGATAACCTTTCCTGCTTCTCTCTCTGGGCCTCACCAGCAGCCCTGCCACTGCTGATCAGCCTCGCCTCTCTTTCTCCGAGAGGTCAGCAGTTCAGCCCACTCTCCTGCTGTGTGTGCAGCCTGGCATTTGATGGAGCCTCCGTTTGTTGTAGATATTACTACCCTGGCTCTTTATATAGAGAGAGGAAAATAATTAATGGTTGCTCTTTTTTACTCTTAATACTCCCCGACCCCCCAATGTGGATGATAAATTGAATACTCTGTCTGTGAAAGCTACCATTCAGAAAGGTGGTGGGAATAGAAATACAAATAGGTAGAATTTTAGAGATTGTTTATATCAGAGGTCCCAAGGCCATCTGAATGATTTACTAGGATTCACAGGACTCAGAAGTGGCTGTGTTCATGGTGAGGGTTGTTGTGAAAGGACACAGAGTGAAATCATAGACACCGGAGGGGAAGTCTGATGGAACAGAGTGCAAGCTTCCAGGTGTCCCTCCCTCCTGGAGGCACACAGGTGTGCTTAGTTCCCCCAGAAGTGATATATGATGATATGTGCAAAGCGTTCTGAACCAAGGAAGCTCATCTTAGCCTGAGTGTCCAGAGTTTTTATTGGGTGTCAGTCATATAGGTAGATAGCACCTCTGTGACTGACCTTGATTGCTTAAGTACCTGAACCTTAGAGAAAAAGAGATGTTTGCCATAAATCACATTGGTAGCAAAAACTGCCATACTGGTACATTAAATACTCTAGTCAGACAAAACTTTCCAAGCTCTCACTTCCCAGGAGCTAGCTGAGGGCTAGTCTGAAATCGGACCATTTTGGGGGAATGTGTAGGGTTTCAGCAAGCCCTGTTGGTTGAGTTAATTCTTTTTCATATAAGGTCATAGAAGGTATTCAGGCCAGAGTTTGAACCCAGGAAGTCTGATTACAAAGACTGCTCTTTCCATGAGTAATTTTTAGTGATCTTTATACTGATTTGCTAATTGGAAATTACTGGCTACAGTAGATGTGATAGCAACTTGGACTGTGCCCATCTATCCTGATAAAATACTTCTTTTTAAAAAATCTCTTTATTTATTTTAGAGGGAGGAAGGAAGGGGGAGAGAGAGAGACTTCAATGTGATGGAGAAGAATCAATTGGTTGCCTCCTGCACACCCCCTGACTGGAGATTGAATCCGCAACATGGGCATGTGTCCTGTCTGGGAATCGAAACAGTCACCTTTGGTGCATGGGACAATTCTCAACCAACTGAGCCACACCAGCCAAGGCCTGATAAAATACTAATACATTTTCTTTTTCCTCACACAAGGATAAGGAGCTTGATTTGAGTATTTTTCAGTGCTTTTGTAGGTAAAAGGCGCTAAGAATTTCTAGTTCTTATTTTCAGCAAGGTTTGTTTTATATATTAATGTATTGAACAGTAGTTTATATGAAGAATAGTTTATAATTACTCCTTTGGCACTTGATATAATTTTTTAATTAAAAAAAGACACGTAATAACAGATTTATAAAAGTTTTTGTCACAAGATTGTCTGCCTTATAGGTAATAGATTTGAATGAACGCACACAGTTCTCAAAAGCTTTTAACTTTTTCTGTTTTCTTTTTTCTTAGGTATTTGTGGAAACATTAGACAAGTGTTTTGAAAATGTCTGTGAATTGGATTTAATTTTCCATGTAGATAAGGTACTACTCCTTTGTTGTCAAATCTTCTAAGCTTTTTACCTGAGGGGGGAAAATGTTAATTTTTAGTTGCCAAAGTAAAAATGGATTTAGTGAATACTGTTTTTATTCTCTGCTTAGGATTGTATGAATGAAGAAAATTACATTTAAACTGGATTTTTAAGGATTAGTAGATATTTTCAGAGATAGAAAAGGAGAGGTGGTTCTATAGGCATAGATATAAAATAGACACTTCTTGTGAGGGGAGATTGTTATTGATCAAGAGGCCTAATTTTTTTTCTTTTATTCTTACTGATCTCAGAGAGAAAGGGAGAGAGATAGAAACATTAATGATGAGAGAGAAGCATTGATTGGCTGCCTCCTGCACATCCCACACTGGGAATCGAACTAGTGACCTCTTGGTCCCTGAGTCAACGCTCAACCACTGAGCACACCCAGCTGGACAAGAGGCCTAATTTTGAAGTGCCTTTAGTGCCATGGATTTTAGACTTTGTTCTGAATCAATTTAATCTTTTTTAAAAAATACATATTTTATTAATTTTTTACAGAGAGGAAGAGAGAGGGATAGAGAGTTAGAAACATCAATGAGAGAGAATCATCAATCAGCTGCCTCTTGCACACCCCCTACTGGGGATGTGCCCGCAACCAAGGTACATGCCCTTGACTGGAATCAAAGCCAGGACCTTTCAGTCCGCAGGCCGACGCTGTATCCAAACGGTTTTGGCTCAATTTAATCTTTTAAATAAGCTTTTATTGGTATCATTGTTGCTTTGTACATTTTGGGGGCAAGACTATTTTTTTTTAAATATATTTTTATTGATTTTGTACAGAGAGGAAAGGAGAGAGATAGAGAGTTAGAAACATCGATGAGAGAGAGTCATCGATCAGCTGCCTCCTGCACACCCCCTACTGGGGATGTGCCCGCAACCAAGGTACATGCCCTTGACCGGAATCGAACCCGGGTCCCTTCAGTCCCCAAGCCAACGCTCTATCCATTGAGCCAAACCGGTCCCGGTGGCAAGACTATTTTTTAAGTTGTATTGCTAGGTGGGAGATTAAGGACAGAGAAATCAATTTAGGAATCTGTTGCTATAGTCCAGAAAGAAATGAAATAAGGCAGTATAGTAAGGATGAAGAAAGTAGAGTAGGACCCTGCTAGCCTGTTAAAAGCTGCAGGTGAGAGAGGGGGAGAATGACTGAGTTTTCTAATCAGTATTATTGGGTATTGGTAATACAGAATTTAGGAGAGATTCCATTTTTACTATATATAGATTTTTTTTTCTGTATTAAGTTCATGTAATTTAACATTGCTTTGAATTATTAAGCCATTTAATGAAATAGTCTGAAAATAAGTGGCCTAAAGTTTTAGCAAGAAAAGTGATTTTAAAAAGTTACCTTCAGCTTGATTGGTGTGACTCAGTTAAGCGTTGACTTGTGAACCAAGAGGCCGCAGTTCATTTCCTGGTCAGAGCACATGCCCAGGTTGTGGGGTATACAGGAGACAGCTGATCGATGATTCTCTCTCATTATTGATGTTTCTATCTCTTGCTTCCTCTCTCTTAAGAATATCATTAGGTAACGAATATTTATTGATTATTTACTTTGTTTTGGGTACTTCCATGGATGACCTCTTTTAATTTTTCAGCAATCTATGAAGGAGATACTATTATTATCTCTGTTTTATAGCCCATTAAAATAAGACTTAAAGAGGTTATTTATAACTACCTAAAGCTTCACAGTAGTGATGAAAGTGGGTTGTAAGCCTTATTCCAAATTATTTTATTATACAGCTCATACTTATAAAGTAGACTCAATAGTATTTAAACCAAAAACTATTGGAATTATGACATGTTTTTGTAGTGAATTTTATTTATGGGTGTCTATTATCTTTTTCCCTTTAGGTTCACAATATTCTTGCAGAAATGGTGATGGGGGGAATGGTATTGGAGACCAACATGAATGAGATTGTTACACAAATTGATGCACAAAATAAACTGGAGAAATCTGAGGTAAGACTGGAAAGTGCTCTAATTAATGAAGGTGGTAAACACGGTCATAAATTATGCATGATTTGCAGCTTTCACTGTTTGTCCTTTAGTAGCACCTTCTAGGTACAATTGATTTGCTTATTCAGTTTTTAAATGAAATATCCATATTTTAGTATGCCAAATGTTCTGTGGCTACTATCCACCAAATAGTTGTGTGTCCTTCTTTTAGCCATGGTCATACTAGCCTTGGGTGATTAACACAATTCCAAATTCTTACTGCTTAAAAAAGAAATTATTTACTTGAAAATGGATTAAGTATTTGCTTTATAAAACATTAGTCAGTAATTATCAAGGATATCTTAGAACTTGTATTTTAAATATATATAAATTTAGCATTATAAAACTATTTCTGGAAGAGGAGAGAAGAGGCAATGGAATTCTCATGAGGAAATAATAAGTTATAATAGGTGCTTAGCAAGCCTAAGTACATATTGAAAAAGGAAATTCAGTGCCTTAATCTTTTAATTCTGAATCCTTCCCAAAGGTCATTGACCAGTTTGCTAAGTCATATATTTTATTCGTTGATAAATATATTCATGGCTTTTATTGCATTCTCTAAGAGAAAGATTTGGTTAGTTATATAGTGCTAACTTTGTGCTGTTAGATTGGGTGAATGGGGACCAACCAGGACTTTAGCATTGTATAAAAACCTACTTTAGAATTTAGCGACTCCTCCCTCATGTACTAGGCTGAATATTAGTGACAGGTGCTATAGCTGAGCCACTTAAGTTCACATTATTTTGGTTATTTATTATAGCTGAAGTTTAGATACATAACATTTTATTATCTCATTCAGTGCTCTGCTTGTTTAAGGATACTCTTACCTTTGGTATTTATAGTCATAACTCAGATTAGGAAAATATATTTTATAATTATTAGTACAAATTCAGATGTTTGATTGGTATAAAGTACTATAAAAGCAGCAAGATACTAAAATATGTTAGAATTAATTTACAACAGGTGAGTTCTGAAGAATTATTATTTTGTTGGTACTTTAAATGATCAGTTTAATACAAATAAATACCATGCTCATTAGAACTGAATAAAACACAGGATGATGGATAAATATGAAGCTTGAGGATTAGAAACAGTTGCAAGTGAAAAAACATTTTCCAATGTTTATTTAAAATTTCTTCTTATCTCAATTTATCATCCCTATTGGTTTTCCAAAGGAGAGACTTATAATAGTGAAGAACTTAAAATTATGGTTCTTTTAAGTAACTGTGTATTTTGTGTGTTCTATAGCCAATTTTTCAAGTATTGGTTTTTGAAAGGGGAAAATATAAACTGGATTAAACTAGGACAAGGAAAACAATTCAGAATACTATTTAGTGTGGTTGGTTTGCAATGTATAATATATAGTAAAATATTTACTATAAACTCTAAGCTGTAGTTTTTTAAAGTCTTAAAATGATAATTTGAACATTTCTTTTTACACTCAATCTGGTTTATTGGCTCATTATACATGTACACCAAATATATATGGAAACATAAATATTTCAACGTACAAATTTACATGGAACTCACAAATCACCCCCTTGTCTTTCATCAAGCACCCAAACTTGTACCCTATCCCGCTCCACTCTGGGATGAAGTTCACAGGGGGCTGGCACTAGAGGGTAGGAATCTGGAGGAGGGAGAGGTCCTGCTCCCCTCTCTTCACAGGTACCTCCAAAAGGTCCTGCTCTTCTCAGGGCAGAAGGCTAAATACCTCCACTCCCTCTCTGCCGCAACTCAAATCCCAAACGTCTCCTCTAATCCATCTCGCCAATTTATATAATCTATTAAACTTCACATTACAAAATGATGGTTATATATTTTAAATGCCAAGAGACAGAGTGACACAATCCATTAATCACTCTAAAATGAATTGATGTGGTAATTTGTCAATTTTGTGTAATCGTCTGTAAAAATATATAGACTTCTTGTCTAGAATTTTCACCTTGAAAATTTCCAGATATTTAAATTCTTTTTCCATTGGTGGTGTCCTTTTTTCCCCTCTTCTTTTTTTCCTTAGTGTGATGTATATAATATTAACAAAAGTCATAAAAGACCTATAACTGCATAATGGACATTTGTTTTTTGATTATTCAGTAATATTTTGTTAAGCAGTTTTTTAATTTATAAAGAGCAGTGAAATGCAGAATTTACATTTTTGATAGAAAGTTATAAGAATACTATAAATACTATTTTAAGTGGTTCTGAATATTAGTGGATACTCCCATTTTCATTCACTAATAATCTTTTAATATATAGTTAGTTATCTGCTACCAGATTAGTTTTTCTTTTTCTTCTTTACAAGAAAGTATATTTTAAATCTGATTGGGGATAAACCCCAACATATGTTTAGTAAGTGTTTTTCTATATGTGATGTCTGCTAATATTTAGTTGTAAAAACGTCAAAGTGAGGTTATTTAGTCCTGATCATATTTTAAGAAATTGTGTTGAAAAATAATGTTGACTTTTTATAATTTTTCAGTAATTTTGATATATTTTAAGTATGTTTTGAAGTCTACCAGCTTTATTCTAAACACACTGAAATGTCAGAAATTTTCATGTGAGTTCTATTTCCAGGTTACTTAAATTGGTTATATCTACCACATATGACTGCAGAAAAACCCAAAACTACTAATTTAATTAAGATTTATTATGTAAGCAAAACTTATCATGAAAGGCTTAATTAAAATCCAGAGTATCATAATTGATGATAAGATCTGGTTATCTTATTTTTAATGTTAATTTAAATGATATTTAGAATAGCATTTATCTTTTAAAAATCACCTGGGTTTAATTAAGACACAGCTCTTAAAATATAACATAAATCTATCTAGGTCCCTTTACTTTGTTAGATTTTGAAGATTTTATTATTTTGGCTTAATGGTAGTATCAATCAAAAGTGAATCAGTTTAATTCCCAATACCTAGACAGGTAGGAGCAAAGATCACCCAGATCTTTAACCCTTTGTACGCCATAAGCTTTTATAGACGCAAGCCATGGACCTTTTTAATTATATTCAAAATATCGTGGCAGTTAACTGGTTAAAGAGAGAAGAAGCAAAGATATGCTTTCAGTGTATTTTCAGCTATCCTGCTTTGATAGAAAAATGGTTTGCTTGTAACATTGGGATCCTGTGAAAGGAGGGTTAAGTTGGGAAGTTGGTGGGGTTTGGGGAAAATCTAAAAGGTACCCAGAAAGCTGCCTAGGAATGAAAGCCTCCCTGTGGGTGGAGGAGGGAAGGTTGGGGAGACTTGTTAGTTTTTATGTATTTCATGTTATTTTTAAGATGAAAAATGACTCTGAATTTAGTTACTACTTTTTTAAAGTTAGTCCTCTTTTTTCCGAACATCCTGATCTTTCTAGCTCTTTCCATTCTTCTCTTTACAGACCTTTATCTTTCAATCTCCCAGACAGGACAGGTAGACAAGGTATTGCTGACTTTGAGAAAAATGTACTTTAACAAAAGGGAAAGCAAAATGATGTCAAAGGCAATTAATTATGTAGGCCAGACTCAAAAATTCTTTGTGTTAATGAACCCATATAGTCCCTGTAGCCTATTTTTCATTCTAGTTTCTCCTTGTAGTTTCTTCATCTTTTATTGGACTTAGTGTATTTTTCTAGTATATCATCAATGTCATCTTTGTTCTGTTTTGTCTGCCTGCATTGTGAAAGGAAAGGTTAAGTTTTTTGTTCTTATTTTTAAACATTGTCATTTAACTGACAAATTATATTTTGTAAAAATGACAATTTATTTTGTCTGTTAAATTTAGAATTTATTTTTAGCATCATGTGGCAGAACCAATTTTACTTTAATACTCACAGATTTCCCCCCCTCATCTTTCTAAATTAGGATTCTAACATAAAATTGCCTACTAGATTTTGGAAATTGTGAATTTAAAACCCAAAACCTGAGCCTTCAAAGTTTTGCATACAAAGTAGGAAGCAGTGAAGGCTTAGAACAGTGACTGTTAAGTAGTACTGCAGTTCCAAAGTCTTAACAGAATTGCTTTAACTAGTTTTGACAAATAGATCTATATTAAAAGTAGCCAATAAAAAACAAGATCAGAAATTATTAAAATTGAATTAAATTTTTAAAAATTTAAGTTCTAAAAAACGGAATTAAATATATTTACCAAAATAAAATGGATTTCTATTGTAGGAACCTTCTGACATCCAAACATGTCATAATAGGACAAAAAATATTATAAACTTTGAGTATTTTTATGAAGCATATTGCAAAATATTATAAATATTTTTAATAGACTCCTAGTTTTACAAAACTAAATTTTCTCTAGTATTTTTCTGAAAAAAAATTTTTTTACACCATAAGTTAACTGTTTGAATTACTTTTTAAACATTTCTCTGTAACAACTTTTTTGTACAAAACTATTTCAGGAAAGATGAAAATGTTTATTGGACCCCATTTAAAAACTTCAAAATAAAAATCTTTATTGAGCCCTATGGAGGAAAAAAAATCTATCAACTTAACAAGTTAGATTACCTACCATGAATTTAGGAAAATGTCATTGAGAATGTGGCATAGCTATTTAGCCACTAAATTATTGCTTTCTGGATGTGTTTGAGAAGCAGCATCAGACAGGTGATTTCCTAAGATCTTATCCCAGGATTATAAAGCTATATCAAGAAGCTGGGGGTACCACATTTGGTCCCTAGATTCATATTACTTTATCCTTACAATAGAAAGTAAATAAATCATTCATTGATCCAAATCACTGCCAATTTCTGTGTTCTAGTTTTTAATTTATGTTAAACTGCTATTTTCTAACAAAAAACCATCAACCTCTTGGGTCTTTTAACTTACATACCTAGAACTAGTAATTAGCTTGTTACTTTTTTAAATCAAGTTTCTATTTTTAAAGAGTATAGAATAAGAAAGGGGGATTAAGTAACAGATGTTGGGAAGTCAAACTGTGAGTTGGTTCTGCCCCTCTGTGTTGACATGCAGTTATTCTGTTCTACAAAATTACAGTGGAACCCCTGAGGTCAAAACTAGTTATATTAAATCCATGAATGGCATTAGTCTACTATATTATTTTCACACAGGCATTTCCTGTGCTAGAAATTAAACTATAAATGAAGATTATATAAAATAGTCTAATGTTGATAAAATTTTAAATAAAATACTATATTCTTACTAGAGGATTGTTATCAGTATTTCTCATCTCTTTGTTTAAAATTGCAGTTAAAGCACTGCCTTTAAAGCAAAAAGCAAACCTCTTATAAGTTCCCAGATTAAAAATTATTTTACCAAGCATTCAGAAATTAAAATATTGGCATTTTGTATTTCATTCAAAATATTTAAAAATCTGCCTTTACTTTGTTAATGATCTTTACTCTAAAACCATTTAATATTGTGTTTATTAATGTTGATGTTCTTTCACTTTGCTGTTAGGTCAAAATTTTGAATGTGCATATACCAACTTCCAGCAGGAAGGGTGGGTAAAGGTCTTAGTATGTACAAATTATTCCAACTACCATCTTCTTCTGCTATATTTCAGGCTTAAAAAATATTTTAAGATGGTAGGTCGGTAATTTATGTCTTAGATAAAATGAATATTTAGATTCTTTCCTTTTCCCTTTAAGAAACTTAATTGCTATTACATGAGGAAAAGGGAGCTTTCAGATTTTTTAAAACATATTTTAGTAATGCTGCTTTTTTAGTTTTGCTTGCACATATTTTGTTTATTTTTGGGTCTGGCAATTTAAAAACAAAATTTTAAAAAATCATATCCATCCATTATTATCTTTGTGATTCCAGTGCTTGAAATTTTCAAGAGTATGTCTGTATAAGTCTTCTATCTGTTTGGCCTCATTTTGGTATACTTGCAGACTTCATTTTGTTTTCTTTCTCTTAATTCTGTTAATTTATTTAATCTCATGGGAGAGAAAACATGATCATTCTTTTATATACTGTACTTCATTCCTTCATCTAATTCATATTCCTAACAGCTTTGGGTTCATATATTTGTTTTTGTTAGTGGACTTGCTGCAGTTTTCGTGCCATGGTGGTGCTCAAGTAAAATAACATAGATGGAAACAAGTTATTTCTCCAGTAGTATTTCATTCCTTTTTTTCCTGCTTGTGTCAACTATGTTATCCTAAATCTTTAAGAACTATGTTGTACTGTCATTTTACATTTTAAATTGTATAAATTACTAAGAAGTCAGGTAAACTTCATTTCTATAAATTTGAGTGTAAGTTGTCTTGTTTCTTTGAATATATCTTTACTGAGAAGGAAACTAAGATGAAAATTACATTTCTGTGTTGGCAAATTGATTTTCTAATGGCAAATTACAATTTATTCTTTAATAAAATGTTTCAGACTTCACTTTCATGGAAGTCTGAAAATGAATTTCATTTTATAGCAGTTCAGTTAGGATGTTGACTACCTGGTAACATGAAGTGTTTTTTTTTTTTAAGCCCTAAGTTTTTGTATATAAACATTAACAGCTCATATAAACATCTACTTAATAATCAACAGTCCATCTTGTATTTTTCAACATTTTATATTCTGTAGAATTTGTTTTCTTAAAATGTTTCTTTAATTAAAACTTAATTGACATATACATTACAATTTAAAAATTTTGTACCATTTAAATTCATGACATTCTACACAAGAGTATTGAACATGCTTGAGAAATAATTTGATTCTCTTAATCCTTTTGCGTGTTCTGAGTAATAACCATCCTTTGCATGTCTATGGCTTGCTGCTTATGTTTAAAAGAATTGTAATTTGTTGTACTTAGAAACTTCTTTTGGTTTTACATAATAAAAACTTGGCACATATATACTATTTAAATCTACCGCTCTATAGATTTTATATATTCTCAATAGTAGCCAACTGTTAACACCATCTTTTGTCACAAAGAAATTGCTTAATCTATTGAAACCTATGAATCTGTATTTTTATTCTCATTTTCTTTGCTTAAGTTCAGTTTAACATTTCATGGTATAGGGTATTATGGAAAAGAAGGCTTCTTGACAATTATATTTAGTTTAATACTGAAAACAATTTATTTATAGTATAAATCATAGCATCCAGTAAAAAACACACATAATTACCTTTTCTCTTTTTCACAAAATCCTCTAATAATTTATACCTTTTAAAATATTTATATTTAAATATCTTAATCAATACTTTTCTGTAGCCTAGTCATTATTTGTACCCTGTATAGAAATTTCAAAGTGAAAATAGTATCACATTGGTTTGTTATTTAGAAAAATTATAAAATTTATTCTACCTGGAAAAATGATACTTGTTCTAGGATATCTATGACTTTGTAAAATAATTTTTGTTCCCTTGGCAGACAACATACTTCCTGTTAAAAGGAAGAGAACCTATAACATGGTAAAACTATTTGAACTTAATTATTCTTTGATTCTCTTGAAATGATCATCTTAAAAACCCTTTTCAAAAAAAAAAGACCCTTTTGAATCTGATTTATGCTACCCTAAGTAATATTCATATATTTGTCTTGGGGGGCAACGGGAGAGAAGTAAGTTGTAACAAAAACTGCATTACTTCAGGTAGGTATAAATGTAGAAGTCAATCAAATTTTTAATAATACATCAAAATAACTAATCCCTATTAAATTACAAAAACTGAAGTCCCAGCTCTATTAAGTCTTTAATTGGGTATGGAGTGTCCATATCACCCTTGTCGTTGCTGTGTGAACCACATTTATAAATACTAGCTTACTGATTTTTCTATTATTTCCGATTCTGACTTGATAATCCATGGCTTTTATTTCATTGCTTAACAATGTTTGTATCCTTTATTCAGCAAATAGTTTACACTGGCCTATTTTGTATCAGTCAAGATTTTTCTCAGGTAACAGCTTTTAATATTTTTTTAGTTAACAAAAGAGGTAGGATTACATAAGAAAAATGACCCAAAGTTACAAAACAGGACTTTAAAACTAGTGGCTCTAATAACATGAACATTGTTTTTTATATAGGGGTGGGCTAAAGTAGGTTTAAAGTTGTAAGCAAAGCAGGGTTTATTCTTATATTATTATTTATTAATTATTTTCCATACAGACAACTGTAAACCTACTTTTGCTAACCCCTGTATATATGTAATATAACAAAGTTGAAGATTTGTTTGTGTTACTTAATTGTCATCTTTGTGCAAGACAATGTATGCCAATGAGATGTTCGTTGGCTTTATTACATAGCATGACTAAAAATTGATGAAATCAAATTGGTATATAAATTAATCCTTAAAAAATATGAATTTTGTTAATGTAGCTACTTGAAAAAAATGATGTGTTAATTTTTCTTTTATTTTTAAGCATGTTTTTATTTCAAATTATAAATTTTCCTACTAAGATAAAAGCCAAATATTGTACAATAATGGTACTGAGAGTTTTAAATTTTATTTATAAATTTTAAATTTTATGTATGCTATCTATTACATTTATGCTATTCTTTAAATTTGTATTTTGTAAACTAAACATATGTTGTTGAATCTACTTGATATGACAGAATATTTTTAATTGTTATATCTTTACTAATGCATCAAAGGTTGGAATGATCCTCTTGTTGCAGTTTCATTTTTAGGCAGACCTGTTCTGTTTGGATTGAGGCTTTACTGTAAACGCCTGATTTTTTTTTTAAATGTCCTAGAACTTTATTTAAAAGTTTAGAATAGCCTCCATAAGTTAAAAACAATTTTAATTTTTTTATTGTTTTAAGGCATTAGCCCTAAGTAAAAAAACTAAACAAGCATGACCTATTGCTTTTAATTTCTTATTTTACAGCATATATTGATAATAAATGTCATTTAAAAAGCAAAACCCCCAAATATATCATGATTGTTATGAGATGTTTAATAAATAATGTAAAATATGCTTCATGCTTATATCATATGTAATATCAAGATATTAGGTGGATATCTAGCTTTTAGTCATTTGAATATTATGTTAATATACAAGTGGTACAGTTTAATTTGTGTTTAAATCTTTACATTATCATTGCATGTATTCACTGTATTTTTTAATGTGTCACTGTTTCCTCTTTATAGATTAGTATTTCAATGTAACCATCCCATATCAATTCAAACTTATCATCAAGTCTCTAAGCTTGTTATATGAAAATCTTTTATTATTGTTCTCCATTCTTAGTGTTTTTTGGTGAGCTACACCTGAGTTGTACATCTTTTTCTTTTATTTGCTTCTGTATACAGGCTGGCTTAGCGGGAGCTCCAGCCCGTGCTGTTTCAGCTGTAAAGAATATGAATCTTCCTGAGATCCCAAGAAATATTAACATTGGTGACATCAGTATAAAAGTGCCAAACCTGCCCTCTTTTAAATAAAAAAAAAAAATTTAAAAGGCCACTCCCAGGTAAAATTCAGGGGGAAAAGTCATCTAAGTTTACCATGCAGTTGTTTACCAAAAATAGAGGAGGAGAGTTTTACATTTTGCTCTTGGATTTAAGTCAAGGTACTGTATAGAAGTTGTGTAAAATCAATATGGTGGTTCACTGTTGTTTTTCTTGTTCAGTGATTTTAAAGAAATTGAGTAGTTTCGGTGTGATTTTTAAAAAATTTCTTTTCTAAACTGCATTCCTATGCCCACCTAAGGCATGCTTCTATGTATTGGCTACAACAGTATTTCAGAAAGTGTTTGAAACATTTCTTTAAATTATGTACAACCCAAAATGTTGGTGGTGTTTTGTATGGATCACAAGTATAGCGTTCCTTAATTCTTCCTGGTATTTGTCATGACTGTTATTTAAAGAATCAAGTATGTATTGCATGAAAACATTTTGACCTTTTCCTCTTAGTTTAAATAAACTACAAAAAGATAACTGGACTCTTAAAGCACCTTTCTGTTCGCCTGATATCTACTTTAGCAATATTTTTTATGACCTTCTTATTCAACAAAGTAAATAAAAGTGTATTATATCACTGTTAAGCAGCTGTTAATGACGATGTGTTAAATTTATACTTCTGTCCTCAGTTCTCCAGCATCTCCCATCTCGAACAATTCAAATCTTGACCAAGTTGTTCAGAGAAAAAATGTCTTGTTTGTCAAACAAAACTTCAATTTTCAATTGGATCACCCTTTCATTCGGACAACTGTATAATCAGTCACGTGTTTCTCAGGTGCAAACAAAGGAGAAAATGTGCAAGTCTGAATCAGTTTACCACTAAACCTCACATTGTTAACATCTCAGGAAACTGTGCTGTGAATATTTTTTATTTTCTTTTGTTGCTGCTTATTATTATTAAATACAGTAAGTCTCCATGGGTCCTAAGGAGGTTAGTGATAACAGCAAAGTGAAAAGGAAAGTTGTGAGAACAACAATAGAGCTTTAAAAAAGAAAATTGCAAGGTATGATAGAGATGTTTAGTGTCTGATCTGGCTACTAAATATGGCATGGCAAAATCAATGATTAGCACAATTTTAAAATGCTCAGAATATGAAAGTGCTTACAAAACAATGCTAAAATGGAATCATTTGGGAGTCTGGAATGAATTAATGCAATTTACATTATTTCTAATTAGGGGAAGAGGAATGGTCAATTTTTAAACAAATCGCTTCTGGAATAGCCTTCTGGCATGAATTAAGTTCAAGAACTGCAGTTCCAATGTATTCCAAAACTCATTGAATTATTCTAAAGCTTAGTTATTTCACAATCAAAAGTAATGTATCTCATAACACATTGTCCAGGATGAGTTTTGGAATGGCACATGACAAATCTTTTTCTAAAAATTGTAGAATCCATTTTACACATAAAGGTTTAAATCTTGCATTTGATCTCTTCTTGCTCAGTTGAAAAATAATCTTAGCAAATAGTTTCTTTTGACCACAAAACCCTTTGGAACTCCTTTTGATTGGCCCATCCCTAAGTCAAAGCTATACTATTTTCCTAAGTCCTAACACTCGTATTCTGATAATTGGCCCACATTTTTTTATTTGGTCTTACCTTTTGAACAATGGGTGGGGTTCCTTTTCCAATTAGACCAAGTTTTTCTACACTTCTTCCCTCCCCAAATGTTCTCTGAAACATTTCGTTAGATTTGTGGGATGTAAGCAAAGTCACTATTTTTTTTTCTAAATAAAATGAATCTGACTCTAAGCCTCTTCCTATTGAGTCAACAGGAGATTCAGTCAGTGATTATTTCCATCAATTCACAAATGTGTAAAAGTCTTAGTGGAAGGTTATACAAAGCACATTCAGGGAGATCCCTGATCTTCAGTCATTTGACAAATGTTTAAGTGCCTACTGTACCAGGTGAGTAAGTCCCTGTTCTCATGGATCTATATACTGTACCACACATAGGGCCGGGCAGTATTTCCTCCTTTCTCCGTGTTTTCTTGTGGGGGGGGGGGGGGAGATTATGGGAAGATTAAGTTTTGTTTGTTAAGGATGTGCCCAAATTAGGTAATCCTCTGGGCAAGATCATACTTTAATCTAAAGAAACAATCAAAAGGGTTTTATTTCCATTATATTCTATGAAATACAATGCTCAAACAACCAATCAGTATTCCTCCTCTTCCCCTTCCTTTTTCCTTTAGTACTTACTGAGCATCAGCTATGTGCCAGGCTTGTTCTAGGTACTCTGATATAGCAGGGAACAAAATAGTTTATATTATAGCATAAATTTAAATGGCCACAAACGAACAAATATATAATATGCCAGATGATGATAAATACTGTGGAGATAAATTAAGCTGGAGAAAAGGGCATAGGGAGTAGCAAGGTAGAGAGTGAGTTGGGCTGTGACTGTGATGTATAGAGTGGGTAGGGGAAGGCATCACTGATGAAGTAATATTTGAATAAAAACCTGGAAGTAAGGAGGGAGTTGTGGAGATTTGTGAGACAAGAATAGTCCAGACAGAGGAAATAGCATTGGCAAGGCCCAGATATGTAAGGGCATGGGCCTTCTACAAATCAAGGCTGATTTAGCTACTGCTTGTGTCAAATACAGGGTGAAACAAAAGTAAGTTTACAGTTGTTTGTATGGGTAAATTATCTTAACCAACTGTAAGGTCAGGGTGGCAGCCTCAGTTCCACAATTAATAAATAATAATACAAGAAAAAACTGTTTTGTGTACTTACAACTCTAAACCTTCTCTTGCTCCACCTTGTATTTTATCTGCCAATAACAGAGATCAAGGGTGAGGCCCTGATACAGTACCTTCCCTTGAGAAAACCAAGCAGCCACTTGGTGGCAAGTAAGTTTGGACCCCTTCCATCTTAAATTAATCCTCCTGGAACTGATACAATTCAGGTATGAGCTTTTCTTTCCTGGCTGCATAGCCACAGCCAACATCCCTATTCAAGCACCTGCCTGGGATCCTACATAGCATCACAAAGGGCTTCATAGCAAAAGAGGTGCAGCAGTGAATTCAGAACAGAGAGGTCAAGTGATCTTGTCATTTGCTGCCCAGCTCGGAAGCTGAACTGATAGAGTAATATAATGGTATTTCAAAAAGGCACACATGATGGTAGATACCCTGTGAAGATGGGGAACATTCTCCAGGATGTAACATATACCAACCTTTACAGAGTGTTCTGTTTCCAACAGATAGACTACCTGGATCCAGGCACCAAGGGGTAGAGTAGGAGTACCCCACTTGCATCACTCCCAGTGATACATGTAGGAGAGTTTGTGCTTCCTGTCATCACAACTCTAGGATTTATAGGTGTAGAGGTCTTGGTTCCCAGAAATGAAGTGCTTCCTGCAGGGGCACACCATGAGCCATGTTAACCTTTAATGTACAGCTGCCCTCCAGTCATTGCAAGCTCCTCATATCAAAAAAACAGTTGGCAAAGAAAAGAATCTCCATCTTTTATTCCCTCATATCTTTAAGGTCTAACCCCAAAAGAGTCTTTCAGAGCTCCAAAAAAAAAAGCATGCTAACTAGTTGGGAAATAGATATCATTAGGAACTTGCTGCTGGTCCTCCAGATGCTGACTTAACTCATTCAGACTCCAAAATCAGAAGTTAACATAGTGTATTATGGGGAGGGGATCAAACTGAAGAATAACCTATTGTAAATGAAAAAGAGGTGAAGATGCCTTAAACTAGTCATATAAGATCACAGATTTTGGAGGATATAATTTCTATATTAGAACTAGAGGCCCAGTATATAAGATTTGTGCAAGGGGGGGGGGCAGGGAATGGGGGGAGGGGAGACCCCCTTAGCCCTGCCTGTGCCCTCTCCCAATCTGGAAGCCCTCAGGGTATGACAGCTTAGGTCTGCTCCCCATGGCCTAAGCTGTCAGTTGGACATCCTTAGCACTAGCACAGAGGTAGGAGAGGCTCCTGCCACTGCCACCGTGTTTGCGAGCTATGAGCCCAGCTTCTGGCTGAGTGGTGAAGCACTGACCACCAGGAGGCAGCTCCTGTGTTGAGCTTCTGCCCCCTGGTTGTTAGTGTACATCAGAGCAACTGATCATTCTGCTTCAGTCAATTTGCATATTAGCCTTTTATTATGTAGGATTACCTTCTGTAATAGATTTCTCCCTAAGAATTGATAGAAAGTGTTGTCAGATCATGTTGATGGATGTTTCTCCTTTCCCCTTTCTAAACTATTAGTCATCCAACCACGAACAAAAGTGCTTCATTGGGAGATGTGGGAGCCAACAACCTACACTAAGGTACCTGAGAGGACTCTAACTGTGCTTTCAAAAATAGACTAATACACCTGGTAAGGGCTGAGGGTCAGAGGGAGTTAGTGAGCCTGCCCCATGCCTGCTCACCTCAGTAGGAGAAAAAACCTGGAGTGCTTGTCTGTTCAGATTCAAGCAATAGAGAATTTGTAGAAGTCTAGCCTATTTGAGGGAAGATTTCAGCACACCATCAGAGTGGAAAAGATAAGAATTTGTGCACAGTGGAGAGACAGACTCTGGCAGAGCCCTATACCAGTAGCACCACCCACCACCACCATGTGACAATGCATGGAGCTAAGCTGTTAAGTGTTGTGGAAAGCTGTGAGTGAAGGTCTAGCTATCCATTTTGTGGAGTGTGGCTGGAGAAATCTGTTTCTCTCCAGCAGCACCCAGAATACTGAAGTGGAACCTTCATGACTTGAGGGATGGAGTAGAAAGAGAAGGAAACAGATAAGAATATCAAAGGGAATGGAATAAGTGGTTCCTAATGACTGCTTCAGGACTTAAGCAGGAAATTCACCCATAAGGATCCCACTTAAGAATCTCCCCACTGGGTTAATGGGCTCCCACATCACCTGAGGTTGTTAAACTCACATCCCTCTTGACGCTATGGAGGATCTTTGTGAGTGTTTCCGAGTGCAGCAGTGAGATCAATTCTGGGGTGCTCAGAAAAATTCTGGTGGGCAAGG